ACACACACACACACACACACACACACACACACACACACACACACACACACATAATGACATACTAATGAATCTTGAACAAAGTAGTTTCTAACATTATAGTACATGATCCAAATTCACGTTTATGTTTTGCCCTTTTTAACAGTTTTTATATTATTTTACAGTGTTCGGCTACAGAAAATAATCAGCTTGCTTATTTATTTATTTATTTATTTATTTATTAGGTTAGTTTTCATTGCAGTATAGACTATTCTTCCTGGGGTTGTAACTCAGAAGCACCACAGCACATAACAGTATTAACTACTACAAATCAAAATCACTACTTAACACAAAACCAGAAACACGAGTAGAAATAGTTAAATTTAATAGTTAAAGGATTATAAATAGGATTAGTGGGATTTTCAACAGTTTGTAGTTAAAGATGCTGTTATTCAAACAAACAGACCATTGGAGATGAGTCAGGTTTTGTTTCCACTTTTCTGATTAATTTAGAAGCTCATTAGTGCTAAAATGAATAGATTCTTCCTCCATGTATCGTCTGTCTTTTTTGTTTTTTGACTAAATCAAGGTCATGTGAAACAAAAATGTCTGGAAATGAAGATTTCTGATTGTCTCATTGAGACACTGTCTTATTTCTACACTGCAGCTGAGATAGGGACTAATTAGACTGTCCTCTGTGTCGGCTGTTGTGTGATAAGAAATCAGTAACGAAGGATCACTCAGACTCAACTGTCGAAACAARGTGACCCAGCAGGGCTCTGACACGTCTGGGCTCGTTGATTTGTTTCAAGCAGATATGAAATGAGACAAATGAAACACAATAACCTGGATTCTGCTGGAAAACACACTGTGAACTGAAGATTTTACTGTTAAAGCTGCCAAATATTTTGATATGAGCAGATTATGTGCCTGAATCAGGACTTTTAGCTCCTTCCAGCCAGTCGTGAGGTGACATGTGTGAACACTGAGGTTTAGGTAAATATAAGTCCTGTATGTTTAGCCTCCTCTTGGGTTAGCTTTCACTCCTATGTGTGTGGAGGAGTCTGCTGAAAAATATGGTGCTCTATTTGTGACAGATTTATGGTCAAACAGCAGATATCGGAGTGGAGCCTTCAAGTGGGAGGAAACCCTGTCCTGTTCAGCAGGAGTTTCCCAGTCAGAATCAGAATTAGATTTTTACWTATAAGGAATTTAACATTGTGGTGTTGTTGAGGTGCAGAACTGCAACCTAAACAAAAAAATAAAAAACAAAAGATGTAAAAGAAAAATATGTAGTATATAAAAAAGTCAAGAAAATATGTGACCCTTCACATCAAACTGAGGATTATTTCCCAAAATTTTTGTGTGTCGAAAAAGGCAGCTATAGTGCATTAATTACAACCTTTGTAACAATTGAATTTTGTCCAAATATAAAGACTAAAGCTGTTATCTATGGGTTGTTTGAATGAAAACCCTGAAATATAATCTTAAAGAATTTTTGAAGCACTTTTTCGAGCAGTAGCTACAAAAAAACATGGTTTTAGGCAGAAAAGTCTTAAATTGTTATCATTTTCCCCACAAGCTAGCAAAGATTTTTCTCTTTGCTGCTTGTAAATCTTATTATTAAAACATTGTTTGAGGTTTATTCTTAATAACATCAAAACTTCCTCGTTAGACTAACATAAAAATAGGATTCAGACCAAATATCAATAAGTTATCCTGATTATGATGACAAATCAAAGATATCTCTCACATATATTATTAGATGCAGACTAAATAACTCAAAGAAATAAAAAAATTAAGTTAGCGGTCAGCAGTGCAAAAAACATCTCAAGATGATAAAAAAGACCAAAAATGACAAATTTTCACAAAATTGCCTTCATTTCTGTGCATCCAGAGCCGTTTGCGGAGGACGTCACCAACATCGATTCGTTTCTTCACAATCCTCCAAAGTTTCCAGACACCACCTCCTCTCCTCCTGTGAACTCCACCACATCGAGCCGCGGCTCCTTCAGCACCACCTCCGGACCTTCTGGTGAGTTCTGCTCCTCCGTTCTTCTTCTTGATCCTCTTCTTTCCTCACGCCAGTGGAGTTGATGTCATGTTTCCTCCTCCATTTTTACCCTTTTTTTTTAGTTTTCCTGATTTTACTATTATTTCACCTCCTCTTTCTGCTCATCTTTTAAGTTTAGTTTCACTGTCAGCATTGTGAAACAGCAACTGAAGTTTTTTTATTGGAGGAAAATTTTATTTAAAAATCTGTTTTATCTCTATAACTTGGCCAGAATCTTTAAAATATCTCTGGAGTCAAAGAAATCTGGCTCATAAATCATTATTTATTCAAAAAAAAAAAAACCTGCTTGAATGTTGAGAAAATCCCTGCCTGGATGGTTGAAAGATCATCTGAACCACAATCCTGTTATCTCCTCTCCTCCTCTTCCTCCTTTTGAGTCTTCATCACCTTTCTTCTCATGCATTCCTCCTTTGTCCATCCCTCGCTCCTCCAGAGTCCCTTCCCGCCACCTTCATGATGGACACCACTGGTAACTGGACGCTGTCAGGTGAGAGAACGACAAACCAACAGAATATTTTTTGAAAACTGAGCTGGCTCTTCTCCAGCATCTTATACCCGTCCCGGCGCTCCGCAGACAGTTTGCAGGGATTAGAGGGACAGGATTTGGCGCTGGATTCTGTCCCCAGAGTTTGAAGATAAACAGCTCGAGGAAGTGACTCTAACGGAGCTGTAATAAATTACATTTACACTGAATATCATCTTGGCTTCCCGTCGTCTCACAAACGGCGTGTTTTTGCCGACGAGCTGTTTCTAGTTTACACAGAAACACAAACGGGATTTTAAAATACAATTTWAAAAAAAGGCAGGACACAGTTTGCAGTGGCATGTAGGCTGCTTTGTGCTGGATGTGTTTTTGTCAGGGTTTATTGATTACCAGCATGGTGTTTAACTGGCAGGAAGACAAATGGAGGAGTTCAATGCATAAAACATCAGTATTTATGAGCGCAGGTGTTTATATTTTTATCTGCATACAAGCAATCTGCTTAATACAAACTGTGTTTTTGGTTCACACTTGAGGAAAGTCATTTATTTCTCATGCAAACATGCTACAGCTGACCTTGAAAAGGGAGGGAGAAAAGCCAAAATGCTGACTGATTCTGATTAATAGTTAAATACAAAGCTCTGAAAGACAAAACCAAGCTGACAAACTGTTCCCAGAGCAGCGGGTTATTAGAAGCTCGGAGGATCGGTGGAATACTAATGGCACGCTCAAACAGACAATCCCTGTCAGATGTAGAGTCGGGCCGGTGAAACTGTGTCTGTGTGTGACCCCCGTGACTCCTCGGAGAGAGCTAATGTTCACAGGCTCAGTGCATTAGCTGCTGCCAGCGTGTGGTTAAATATCAACGCACTGAATGAAGACATTGTGCTGCTGACTAAAATCTTTGTGGAAACTTAAATCATCAGTGAGTCTTTAATCTGGTCCCAGCTTCTGTTTYGAGACGATCCTACAACCCCAACTGCAATAAAGTCGGGATGTTGTGTAAAACATAAATAAAAACTAATTAAATCTTTTTTTGACCTATTTTCAACTGAATACACTGCAAGGACAAAATATTTAATTTTCAAACAGATTGCAAATATTCACTCATTTTGGATTTGATGCCTGCGACACATTTCCAAAYCCCTCTTAGTTTTGAGACAGACCCAGGTGGAATATTTGTGTCGAAAGTGTCGCGCAGACATGAATTGTGCACACGCAGGAGGAGAGTTGAGCGCTCGTAGCAGCAGAGTTGAGACGTAACTTTGAGTTGCAATTAATATGTAGACACAAATTTTAAAAAATACACACAAATAAATGATGAATTATGAGTTTGTAACTCTAATTATTTCTGTGTAAATGTTGTTTTATGCATTTGTAACCATTTTTTCTGTGACTTTACATACAAAAAATATTTGTGTAAAACTTTTTTTGCAGGTGAAATTTTAAAATTACAAATACAAATCTTTTCTGCAGATGCACAATCATATTTTTGCAGGTTGGTGTCTACACATATTTACCTTCATAATAGACCCTCTAACTAATGACTTGCTGGGGGATTCAGATATTTTATTTTCCCTGATCTTTTTGAAATGAAGGGGTGTCCTGACTCTTTTGACTCACCCTGTACATAGTTTTAGTTSTAAGTGGAGATTCTTCATACGGGTGTTCAGAGTCACAATCTAACAGCATTTTCCACCTGAAACTYTTTCCCGTGGCTGTTTATTCATCTCACATAAAGCATGACAACCAGACATAAATATGTGGGATGTTTTWTGGTGCATTTGTGTAATTTATGGTCTTAAAACCCGTCAGTTTGAATCTAATGTATGTGATGCAACATAAACATGAARCACATCTTTTGATAGTCAAACAACTGAAGGAAGTTTAGGTTGCCGAGGTGCTCCACCCTGAAAATTAAAGCAGAGTGTTCCSGACCATGTCTGTTCTTCTCAACATACAGTATGTTTATGTAAACAATCATTTAAAAAAATGACTTTAACAAGACTTTAAACGAAGCAGTTAAAAAAACAGAACACAGGAAGAAAAGCTACAGAACCTTTTAGGACTGAAGTGTTTGTCACTTCACAATAAGAGGACACATTTGCTGATGGAATAAATTGAAAGCTGCTGCTACGTTGCCTAAAAATTGACTTGTGAAAATTATATTTGAAAACACAACCTGCATTTGTGAAAAGGCAGGGAAATAAATACAAGAACTACAGGAAAACATTAAGAGATCTGTGGACCCACTAATAGCCCAACAGGGAATAAAAGGAGTTCTGATAAAAACATCATGAATGTCTGCTCTGTAAAAAACAAACATCACTGCAGGTTTTCTTGTTAGCATAAAGTTTCTGTACATCTGCTGGACTGTAGCAGGAACACCGTAAAGAAAAAGCTTCATCTTTATAAAAGCTGCAGCATCAGGGCATCACGACTAACTTACTGCCTCGTTAAAGAAAGATACCAGATTTGTTGTCCATAACTTTGTCTGTAAATGATGCAACTGGATGTAAAAAATCACACAAATAAATCGACAACAGGATGAAGAGAAATGTAGCTGAATGTTGTTGCAGCGAGCAATGGTTCAAATTGTTTCCTCTCCTGTAGACAACTACAGAAAAGATGTGGAAAAAAGTTCTTTACAGGAGCAAAAATCAAAACTGTTTCCAAGTGTGCACTGAGTATTTCGTCTTTTTTGTGTCATTGTGTTTTAATGAAACAAAAAAATACAACAGTTTGAATATAATTAGTTTAAAGTGCCTGTGACATCAAATTTTTCTAATGAACATGAAGGCATTTTTGAAATAACATTTTATAACATATTGAAAAACAACATTTCACGCCACTGAAATAAACAGTTGTGGAGATATTCGCATGTGAAGTAACATGATGTCAAGGGGAATGTCTGCTTGGGAACAGAGCGTTGCTACAATAACAACACAGACAGTAGAGAAGAATCTGGTGTTTATTTAGATTATTTTTGTCACTATCAGAGAGATGAAAAAGAGTCAGAGTTTTGAATTTAAAAAAGACCAGGGAGTTTTCTTTCTCAGACTTCCCTTTTGATGTCACTTCCTGTTTCGCTTTGACTGAGCCTAGATCAAAAGAAAATGATAGTTCCAGGGCTCTAGAGTGCGACTAATTTGGTCGCAAATGCGACCTTATTTTTTAAAAGTGCGCCTTCAAAATATTTCCGGTCGCACTGGTGCGCCCAGTCGTTCCAGTAAGGGGGGGGGGGATGCGGTTGCCCGCTGCAACAAAAAGTCTCAATGTCCCGTACTAACGCTATCTAGCAGTATGAACACA